TGCGGATTTTCATTGTAATATATTATATAATTTGTATTCATTTTTTAAACACTTTATTTTTATTTATTTTTTACACTTTTTTTTTTGTTTGTCAATTATATCATGCAATCACTATGACTCCTTGATCATATAATTATTTTTTATTTTTGGGTATTGGGCTGATCTAAACTTGGTAACAGTCAATAATAACCTTTAGTGACTGATCCTGACGGCATGTCAGGATCAGAATTACCTAAAGCAGCGGTGGCGAACCTATGGCACGCGTGCCAGGGAGGGCACGCGGGGCCCTCTCTGCCGGCACGCGAGCCCAGGTTCAAGGACCACCGATTGAAATAGATCCAACTGGATCGCCTCAGTACGCGATCCGGGGCAGTCGCAATCAGGCAGTGGCGGCAGCCTCTAAAGATTAGACGGCCGCTTCCTCCTCGCTAGGACCCCGGGAGGCCCCCGCGAGCGAACGTATAATCTGCCTGTTTAGAGGTCACCGCTGCCTGATTGTGACCAGCCCGACTACAGAGGACGTTCGGATCCCCCTTGAGAGCCGCACAGCCTTGCCCCCTCCCCTCCTGAGTGCAAAACAACCTTCCCCTCCCCCGGGAGCCGCGCTAACCTCCCCCCCTCCCATACAGCCCCCCTGCCTGAGAGACGCACAGGGATGCAGCCCACCTCCCTGCAAAGCAGGAGAGGGGGCAATGTTCTATTTATTCACTTTTATTATTAGTTCTGTGTGTGTGTAATATGTGTGTTTTAATAAGTGTGTGATGTGTGTGTTTTATTGAGTGTATAAATGTTTGATTATGCGTGTTTCACTATTTTGCTTAAGGCCCCATTCACACTGAGCAGAAAATCCCGCGATTTCCGCCACGATATCGCGCATTTTTGCAGCGCGATATCGCGACAAGTTGCTGGCTAATTCAATGGAGCTGTTCTAATGTACAGCTCCATGTCGCCAGTCGCTGTAGCAGGACCCTTTTTCAAGCGGATGTCACACAATTTTTCTATTTTTGAATGCAGCCCGCCGGTGAAGGTCGCAGGAACGTCGCCCTGTTCGTCGTTCTGCTATTTCAGCTGTCAATACCAGAGCGCTGATGGCGATACAGTATTTGTAACAGCTTTATTCTTTCATTAATGAAAGAAAGAGAACCTCTTACAAAAGTTTAATTCTTTCATTAATGGATACCTCAATACTGAGGCATCCATTAATGAACGATAACCGCTGATTCCCAGCGGTTACCGGCATTTCAAAGCCCTGAATAGCTGCTTACCTTCAGTGTACGTGAGCAGTCATTTGGGCACTTGTGTACATCTTCAGTCGTCAAGGGGTTAAGTAAAGGTAACGTGTGCTGATCATTGCAAGCATAGCTTGGTAACATGAGTATGACATATTAAAAAAAGTGATGTGTATGTATTGAACTGTGACTTACAATCGTTTTTCTGGAATTTTTTTTTTTTAATTCTTGTTGGCAGATATTTGGGCTATAGGATGTATATTTGCAGAGCTTCTAACGTCGGAGCCAATATTTCACTGTCGTCAAGAAGACATAAAGACTAGCAACCCTTACCACCACGACCAGCTGGATAGAATATTTAATGTCATGGGCTTTCCAGCAGGTAGGTGGTATACCAGAATTCTAAACCAACGACACCAAAGTGGTGCTAGAGTAATTAAATGATGTGATGTAAAGTGCGATAAAAATGTTATCTTTTTTGTAAGGCTCAGAGCAGAGTCCTGTGCAAGTGTTCTTCCTATTCATTTTGTAGGCATTGAGCAGGTGTGTTCATTGAGTGGTTTCCATTTTCATTTTCTTTGCACTTAAGCCGATTAGACCCTAGAGGGCTTCACTTAACTGTCTGAGCGAATCTGGGCTTCTGTTGTGTTTCTGCACCTGTAAGTAGTAATGGTTTACCCTCCAATTTATTGTTATATACAGTATGTTCCAACAGCTCTGCTAGATTGGAGTTGGGGACCACGCCGTTCCTTGGCACAGCAGTGTGAATTTTAAATCATCGCTCCAATTTACTAACACTCTACATTGCAATTAATACAAAGCTTCCTCGTCCTTCACATCAAAGAAATGTTCTCCACTATACATCTGACTGACATCAATTGGTGGCTAACTCCAACAATGTTAGTTTTAAGGGATTGCTGCCAAGTTGAATCACATGCTGGTTTCTTATATCTAGTAATGAATCCAATGGTGACACAACCATGCTTAAATTTCTAGTTGACTCTGCTGTAACAGGCATTAAAAAGCCAAATGATGGTGTCGGGCTCCCCCTAAGAATGATGCCTTGTCTCGTCAGAGGAAGTGGTGACAGACTGAAATTCCCCTCATGTTTACTTAGAACTGGAATGACATGAATTTAAAAGGAACTGAGTTTTGTTTACTGAAGAATAGTTTTTCCCATAGCAACAAGTCAAATCCTTTTTTTTTGTTTTGTTTCCAGAATACTGTAGGAGTACAAATGGCACAATGGCTGGTGTGTGTAACCAGTAAACTTTGTCCTACCCACAGCTCTAAATTTCCTTCATAAATAAGGCTCAAGTTGTTTTACTTTCTCTGTTTGTTTAGATAAAGATTGGGAGGACATCAAAAAGATGCCTGAACACTCTACATTAATGAAGGATTTCCGCAGAAACACGTAAGTGATTTAATGAGTATACCCCTCAACCCCAAAAGTCTGAAACTTTTTGTGCTGAAAATATACAGAACATGACACTGCAGAGGCTTGGATATCTGTGGAGCTCTTGGCCTGGGATATTGAATCTTTGTATAGCTCATAGTACAAGCTGCACAAAGCTGAAGTTTGTGCCATTCGGAAATGCCTTGTATCCAAGGTCAATTGAGCAATGAAAACAAAGGAATATAGTCCTAAGGCCTGGTTCACACCTGGGCGTTTTACAGCGCGTCCCTACGCTCTGTAAAACGCTCAACATGTGAAAACCAATGATTGCCTATCGGCATGGTTCCCAACTGGGCGTTTTACAGCTTCTTTGGGGCGTATTTGCCGCGCGTATCCTTTGGGATACAGCCAGGTAGCCCTCGGAAACGTTGCGGTAAAAACGTGAGGCGACAAACACGCATATTCGATATGCCTAGGTGTGAACCTAGCCTAACAGTTGGCTTTCACCCCACCTCATTCTTGAAAGATGTGCTCACATTTGTCTAATAACGTATTGACCTATATCTTGCTGTACTCCTTACCGGGTAGTAATGAAAACCTGGAATTCTGAGCCTGATGAAGGGGACCCTGTGAGGCCCCGAAAGCGCTTGCATTGTATGACAAATATGTGTCTTTAAATTTATCTTTTTTCACGTTTATACTGGATTGCTGGTGACGTTCTTGGACTGCACATTTGTCTAATGCCACAGGATGCCTTTTAATCCCAAGCGTCTGCCATTACCAAATATAGTGAGTGATTAGTAAAGGTATAAGCAGCAATCTTGTGACAGTCATTAAGTCAACAATTGCTTTGCATAGTCGTCTAACCAAGAATGAGGCCACTTCAAGTGGTCCAGGTGACACTGTTCCTTATGATGTTCCTATATTATACAGAGATGCTGGCACCATTGACTCTTCTCAGAGCATTTAAGAGTGCCCTCGCCATGATAAAGTTACACACCTCCCATAACCTTACCAATCATCAGATCTAAAGTTGTTGAATTATTATGCATAGTTCCAGTGTTCCATAACACTAACTGTTGTGGTTATGTGGAGTAGGAAAGTAATGCTCCATTCACATACAGAGTTTGCGGTTTACATGCGGAAGACCACACGGGACAAACGCAAACATTTTTTATCTGCACGGATTCCGCTAGTTTGCGGCTAATATATATATATATA